CCTGCAATGGGATGGCCGCTCGTAAGATTCTGAATAAACATCTGTTAAACTGAGGCGGATTTTGGTCAAAGCATGGAGCTCTCGAAGTCATGTGACGTTAGTCATTGTATCTAGACTACTAATTTAAATAAATATTAGAGGAGAAATCATTATGAATGTACAAAAAAATTAGATTTAAAATTCTAAAACCTGAAGTATACAATTCAGGCAGGCCCAAAAGCTTTTGAACTTAAAACAAAAAAATACAGAGCAGCAGGCACACCTACAGAAAACGTGAAGTGGCAGGAAAGTGTACTAGACGAAAATTAATAGGGGACGCTCGAGGTGTCGAGATTAATAATCTCCTTTTTCCTGAGGAAAACTGAAGATATCATGTCACGCGTGAATCGCGTTGCAAAGTCTGTAAGGGTGACCGTCACATTAGCATTTTTCACACAACTCCGCGGTAGTTTTAGACCTAACACAAGTGCTTTGGAATTTATCAAAGAATTCACAACCACAGAATATTTATTCAGACAATTTCAAGAAAGAAATTTCATAAATGAAAAGAAAAGGAGAAGAGAGGGAAAGGAATAAAGGACGAGATGAAAGAGTAGGGAAAAAAGTGATGATACATCTCTGTTTATTACATATTCATCCCAGTGATTAGGCGGAAGAACAGGTCTAAAGGACTGAGCCTCGCAACTAATAAAGCCTTCATTATTAAACACTGCGATTAGCGCAGCACAAAATGGCGCCGGCAAAGGTGCATGTTAAACAGCCATGTTTTGTTCCACGTGGCTTCGGCACTCAAGACAAAGTAAAAGTCCTCGAAACATGTATGCGAGAATGTAAGATGTGAATTTAGCGAAAATACATATTTTTAGGGAAGATTTCTTCTATTACTCTCCAAATGACGATCGTATGGCTGTAGGGTGATATTTCATGAGTGGAAGCAATCACCGAACTTTTCCCTGAACTCGATTCTCCCCCGATTCTCCGCGATCACAGTCCACAGCGAAGAGCAACCGACAGAGGAAAACGGTGAAAAAGTTCGCAGCCGCCTCCTCCTGGGCCGAAAATCGACCGCATCGATTGGCGTAGTGTATTCGACCCATCGACTCTGCAGCGCTTCAAATGCCGCCTTTTGTTATTTAAAGTTCTCGCTCCATTGTTAGAGTCACGCGATGAGAGTGCAGCGAAGATCAAAGGAAGGCTCTTTTCAACGCAGAATAAACAATGCTATGAATTAAGAATCTACACGGGCAGAATCTGTTATGACATGATCACACTGGCTTCCGCATCCAGAAAGGATTACAAAGACGAGGATATTATCCTATAAATTTCCCTTCAGTGATTGATTGATTGATTGATTTCTAATGATTCCGGGTGCTAAGACCATTAGTCCCGTAAGTGTAGTACATGCTTTGCTCTGGAGGTGGCGGTGATCTTGCCCTGCTGGAACTGGCCAGATCCGGCGCCGGTCTACCGTCGGCTAGCGGGGTTTCCCTCACCAGGTATCTCCCACCAGCGGGGCACCGCCCAGCCGGGACAAGCTCTAACCTCTCAACCGGTCTCCCGGCCTGTGGGGCAGGGTAGTGCAGGTTAGTGTGTGTAAGTAAGAGGTAGAGACAAGACAAGGAAGAGGACAAATCGCGCGTGGTCCATGGCCCGTTTGTTAGGGTACTGCTCCGGCCTTCAACTAATATTGATCAGAGAAACCACGGAAAAATACCGATCAGAGCAGCCGGCCGCTAGATTTCTCCTCCAGACAGCGACAGAACGTGACCTAGCTATCTGGCTAGAGTAGAAAACCTTGCCGCCGTCGGGACTCCAAACCTAGGACCTCTCGGTCAGAGGCACTGCAGTGACTTCAGCTAATGCGCTAATACATCTCTCCCTATTTACCTTCATGTTACGTCGATGTACTACTAAAACTAAACGCCATCATCTTACCATCTTTAGAAAAAGTTTTACAGGAAAAAAAACAAGATATTACAATAATTTTTATTGGGACTCCACTAATTCAGTCAAATGTAATGCGCACCATTTTCCAGGTTTTCCCAACTTTAAGATTTTTCTGTGACCAATTACTTGAATAGTTCGCAATTACAACTTCCTGGGGTCGGAGACCGTCGTCATGTATTTTACTAATAATGTAACAAACAAAAATTAGATGTGCGACAATTAGCGTGGACCACTGATTGAAATTAATAACAAATTTACACTTCAAATTTTATTAAAAAAACTGACGTGTTTTTACGCAATACATTTTCAAAGATCTTTATGTAACTCTCCGTTCGCGACCTCCGAGCTTCTTCCTTAAATTGACAAGCCCACACGCGAAAGATTTTCTGATGGCTTCGCCGTGGAGATGACAAAAGTGTGAAGGATTCAGCGTCTCAGTACGAAGCAATATGGTAAATATCAGTTATAAATATTTATAGAACCACTACTGAGGATTTGCAAAGTCACGGGAGCTAAGTGCCAAACATTTTTTTGGGGGGTGGGGGGAATCAATGAAAACTGTATAAATTTATTTGCCGTAAACCTAGAGCCATCATTAGGTTGATGTTACAACTGCTTCGAAGGTGTTTGTAGCATCGCTTTTAACTGTGTATTAGCATCGATTTATATAATGCAGGGTCAGTCAGAAAATATTTCATCCTATTTTTTCCTACTTAAATATAATCATTTAAGTGAAAACTTTGAATTTCGCACTATTCCTCAAACCACCTTCCACAATCTACCGCAATAGCAACTTTCTGCGTCAACATGTGGCAGTACAGCAGTTTGGAAAATGGTCGACATCAATGTTCGTAAGAGACAACGTTGTGGGATTGAAGTCTTTAATGGAGAACGTGAAAAGTGACAGATGAATTGTATCTCATTATCTGCTTCGGTAAAAAAAGAACCCATCCACCAGTGCTGGCATCCACTGTTGCATCATCGTACACATTTTTCAGTATTGCTGGAATACGAATGATCATTCCACCTTCTGCATTCAAGAATTCAATCAAACAACGCAGTCTCTTAAGAACACTGCTGTCGGCCATTTTTCAAACGACTGCTGCGCTGCCATATGTCGCAGAAAGTTTCTACTGCGGTGGATCGTAGGAGGAGCATAGATAAATAAAGCGAAATCCAAATTTTTTACTGAACTAATTTTAATTAAGTAGAAAAAATTAGGCGGCATTATTTTCTGACTGTCCCTTGTCAAAACCTTCGTTTCGAAAATGTTGGTACTTACCTCATTTGACTTTGCAAGGCTAATACAATAACACACTTGCAACAAATACAAACGTTTCTACCGCCAACAAAGTCCACTGACTGTTCCAGACACAATCCTTCGACTTTTGCAGATTTTCCGGAAAGTGGCTCCAATGAACTAATTCTTAGATACGCCATAACACGCGTGTATTGCAGAATTCGTGAGGGAAGGAAAAGACGGGGGCTACACGCTGACAGCCAGGCTGCCGATCGCGCGGCGGTGAGTGATTGGGAAACGCACAAGGAGCCACGCCCCAACACTTGGGAAGGGGAGATTCTCAAAACGGATTGCCAACAAGTATTTTTATTCCCGAAGTGATCAATATCGTCCCCATGCTGGCGATTCGAACTTTCTTAGAGATCGATAGATTCAAATTGAAAAACGGTGGTCGATGGCACTTAATATTCGCCTCACCACTATTTACCTTTAAAAATAATAATAATAATAATAATAATAATAATAATAATACTATTATTATTATTTGTAAATTCAATAAAACTAACGCATTTTAATTACATAAGCTTCAAAAGTAAAAATCTGCTCGTGTTTTTGTCTTTAATTTTCACTAGCGCACTTTTCAATATTAAATGTAGGAAAAGAAGGTAATGCAATTTCCCGTAGCACTTTTGTATTTTTTAATTACTTATTAACAAGTAAATAATATTTTTATTTATAATTAAATATTTAATGTGGAGATATACAAAAGTTTATTCTGCGACCGAAAAGGTAGGCAAGTTCTGCTCTAGGGCATCTGTCTGGATAATGGAAAGCCCAGAGCTCTGTTCCCAGGAGGATCAAACATTTACTCTGCGTGACAGCGAATTTTCAGTATTAAATGGTGAAGCATAACAGCGTTTGCGCCGTCTTGGCAACCCCCGTGGCTTTACCACCTACTTCGACCTGCGCCATCAAGCACTCTCATGCCCCTCACACTTTAGCCATGGATTTTCAGATCCCAGACTCATTCTCACTGGCAATCGCTCACGATCTTGTCCAGCGATCCACTACAAGCCTGCACTCACTTCTTTCTCCGTGCACATTTGTATGAAAGTGGCTACCGCCAATCCTATCGTAGTTATACACAAATCCGCGACTTGTAGGCCGATTAAAGACAGGGTTTTTAAGCGCAAAAAAATTATTTCTACGCTTTCCTTCAGAGGGAAAGTAAAACCAACAGTCCCATGTTGTATATTTATAAATAAATAAGATCTTCACGTCTAAAACAAACCTCTGGGCTAAGTTCTAATAGATTGTTTCGTCTCCCGAGTGATACCTACTTTCTCCGGTAGATGGCGAGGGGAGCGTAGCAAAATTTGCATGTACAGGCGGAAGAGCAAGCCAAATGGCCTGTCTCTTGTCACGTAAAATAAGGCATCATTGATCTCCATTCAATTATATTCAATTAGTGTTGGTGTAGAGCTTGTAGCAGGAAGATTACTAATTAGCACTGGCCCGTGCTCTCGCCCAACAAACCTACACTAGCTTATCCATGATTTTTCGCAGTCTACGGTTTTCAGAAAGTGGCTACAGTCTATCGTAGCCAAATTGAACAGAACCCCCGTCCAACTGAACAGAACCCCCGTCCAACTGAACAGAACCCCCGTCCAACTGAACAGAACTCCCGTCCAACTGAACAGAACTCCCGTCCAACTGAACAGAACTCCCGTCCAATTGAACAGAACCCCCGTCCATTTGAACAGAACCCATCCGAACTGGAGAGAACCGAACAGAGTAGGAAAGAGGTACTCACTGGCACTCGCTCATGATCTCGTCCTGCGAGCGCACCTGCACGGGCGCCAGCGCCTCCACGCTCTGCTCGTAGTCGCAGAAGCAGCGCGTCAGCTTCTCGTCGAACGTGTGCACGAGGTCCTCGAGCGAGCCGCTGAAGGCATCGCCGAACGACGGCTCCTCGCCCACCAGCGACGCCCGGGCCCGAGCCCCGTCGCCAGCGCCCCCGCCCACCGCCGCCGCCGCGGCCGCCGCCGCCGCCGCTGCCGC